GTATAGTGCCTAGTCCAGTCCAATTAATAATATTAAAAACGTTTTATTTCTCCTTCTTTAACTTCTTCCGTTAGGTTAACTAATGCTTATTTAGAGGTCTAGGCTAAGGGCGCAGTAGATGCTAAAACAACAATTTCATTTACCTGTTAACTTTTATATATATATATCTAGTACTTCTCATAGCTCTTGCTTCTTCCTTGAAGTGCAAGTTTAATATTCACAAAATTGAACTAACTAACGGACTGACTGTAGCATACAAACTGACTAACATACTCGCAAACTGAATAACCAATCACTGTAACAGGTTCACAAAAATCATCACGTTTTATTACAATTACAATAGTCAAATTATTAATTAAATATGTGACAAAGTACAATCGAAAATTTGATTAAGAAATTAAATGTTTTTGTACTCATTTACTGTCACTAAACTGTCCACTTTTCAAATAATTTGGTTGTTTCTTTTCCTTGGATTATGATACAAAGATTAGATTTCCATTGGACCCTTATTAGTACATTTCGTCATGTAACTAAAGGAGTTCTCTTCAGTAGAAGAAATCTAGTGGTGACTCCATCCGTAATGATACTCTGAAAGGAGTCTCGACCAAAAACTTTGGATCAACAGTAGGTTGACTCTGGCAAAGTTTTCTTTGAAGTTAAATAGTTGCCTGTTCACTCACCATATTTCCAAAGATAACTTGGAACACCTCTCATTCTGGATTCTATAAACCACATCACTGATCCTCTTGACTACACCAACAGCATAGGGTCCTTCCCAGCATTCTTAACTTGGGAAGTAGTCTTCTCTTGTAGCGTGAACTGTACAGCCATATCATGTCACCACGATAAAATGCAGTCTTATCATCATTTACATCGTAACGACTTTTCATCTATCATTAGCTGATTTAAGTCTTTTTGGGGTAATGTCATATATGGTGTTCCTTAGTTTCACTGCATACTCTGCTGAGTGATAGCCCTCAGGGTGCAATTTCTCTTCCAAACATCAGTGATGCTAGTGTGATACTTTTGGCTCCATGTATCACTATTTGATAATTCCTAAGTAAGAGTGGAATATTTCATTCCACGTTTTCTTATGTTCATCTACATAAATGGATAGATGTTTTACAAAGTTTATGGTTGTATCTCTCCACCATTTCACCAGAAAAGAGGTCAAGCGCTATAGTCCTAGTTTTATCATTCCAAGAATATGATACATCTCTGTAAACAATGTTCCATCTCTAATCGAATGAAGTCCCATGAGCACCCTGAGTCTTGAAGCAAGTTCATTGACAAGCTTTATTGCAAGTTTCTGCTTGCTAGGTAGGCACAGCATATGCTTCTAACCATTTGGTGAAGTAGTCCATCACCACCGAGATGCATTTATTCTCACTGGTGCTCTATGGGAGAGGACCAAGCACGTTGACACCTACTCTCTCAAGTGACACCCAAAACAACTGCTGTAGTTGCCCATGATGCTTCCTTTATGGACTTTTGCTTACAAAACAGTTTGCAAGACCTAAAGCAATATTCTAAACAGTTTTTAGCATTCAACCCGGTAGAAATGTTCTTTTATTTTCTCTCTCTCTCTCTGCAATCTTCTTAACACTTATGTGTCCAACTATTAATAGGTTGTGGATGTAAAGGAATGTTTCTAACTGTAATGACTAAGTAAGTGTCAACTGACTTCATAAATTCTGCTCACTGGTATTTTCCTATTTTTGACACAACAACCCTTCTCATAGACATAAAGAATCGAACTGTGTCCAGTACAACTTTGTCTTTGGGCAGTACTGAGCCACTATTTGCCATAAGGGGCATTCTGCACCATTCCTAATCTACTGAATAATTCATCTAATATTTGTATCTTTTGACAGATCATATCTCTTGATTATACTTTGTTGTACTTTTGGTTGGTTGTTTTTAATATCTGCGACTTCACATTGTTTACATTATTTGGTAACACAAACTCGTCAGGATAATGTATCAGCATTTTCATGGTACTCCTGAAGCTATCTTGCTATCTGGTCTTTTGGATTGCAGAAAATTCAGACACTTCAAAACTGCAGGATGTATCTGCTGTAAACTTTGCCCATACAGGTACTGATGGAAATTATTCAAGGCCTAAGCAACATTTAGTAGTTCTTTTTGAATTTTACAGTGCCCCCTTTCTTTGGAATTCACTGCTTTGTTCTAATTACATGTTTTTTTCCATGTTGTACATTTAATAACACTGCTTTAATTGCAAATTCACTGGAATTTGTATTTGTTATGAGTGACTCTTCAAGATTTGGATATGTTGATACTGGATTGAATTCTTTCAGTTTGTTGAATGTCAGTTCAAAAACAGCAGTGCAGCAAAACTTGTTTTCCAGTAGGGTATAATCCAAGAAATTCTCTTCACTCACAGACATTATGTTGTGTTGCTCAATTTTGAATGGATTCAGTCTTGTTTAGACTTGTGGACACTTCCCCTCTGTTGACTATTGATTTATAGCAGTTCAAATTTTCTAAACTCTTTTAAGAGCAGTTTTTACTTCCTACGGGATTTTTTGCAGCTCCTGGCAATATGTTATGTGGTTTACTTCTTCTATTCTGAGTAAATAGTTACATAACTAATCCTTTGATTTCTGCTAGTCTTCCATGAGAGGGAATTGATGGTTCTGTGCTATCTCATTTGATGGTTCCATAATTCCTAGATATAGCTTTTAGTTGTAGCTTTAACTGATTCAAGTTAGGTTACCAGTATCTTCCCCTTATCCTTATTTGCATATCTTCATTTCCTCTAACATTAAAGAATTGGTCATGTATCAATAACTGCATCATTTCATGGGAAATCTCTGAATAAGATAATTGGACAAACATTCCCACATTTTCAGCAAGTTTGGCTAATGTCTCATTCTTCCTCCTTATTATGCTCCAAAACTTTGCTTTTGCAATTTCCTTCTGATATGACACTCAAAATCTGTTTACCTAGTAGTTGTTAGGGTCCTCTTTTGGAATACTGTACTAATTTTATTAAAGCTGGTCCTCTGAAATGTGTGATGAATAGTTTGTCATTCATTATTCCATCCATTTACCTTGGGAATTATTTCAAACTGTGCCCATTGGTTTTTCAGTTGTTGATCTAACCTGCTGAATTTTATAATGTGATGCTTCAGTAGTCCACAAAGATCCTCCTACAGATATAGGTGGCAAAATAGTGGTAACATGTGTAGAACAAATGGGCTCTCCTATTCCATACTGCATAGTTAATGGTGCTTGAGAATGAAATATTTGAGTGGATGCAGAGAGGTGTGGCTGGTTTGATCCTCACATTTCCCAATATGGTTTCTAATTGTTTCATCCTTCTGTAAATTTGTAATAGCTCCTTTAATCTTGTAAATATTATCTTTCTGTACTTCTTCAGTCTTGTTACTGTTAGCTTTCTAAACACCTGTTTTTTAAACTTCCATCTGTATATTTTCATTCTTGCATTACATCAACCTGATCTGGGTTTGCAAATCTTCTGTAAACCTAAGATCTTGTTCTTATAATTCATCTTAATTTTTGGTCTCTTCTGATTTTCTGTAACTTTCTTCCTGATCTTTACATTTTTGGTCTCTTTCTTCTTAATTTTGTTTCCATTTTATTTTTACAAATATAATCCTACTTTTATCATCAGTGTTGGAAATATTTCTATTGTTGGGTGGATTCTGTTGGATTATTGATAAAAAAAAACAATGCAAAGTCTGTCTCACTTAATGGTATACAATGTTTTATTTTTATACTTCTTTGGTTAACTTATCTATTGTTCACTAATACACATAAGTTAACAGTTGATACTAACACAACAGTGCCACTTGCAAACTCCCCCAGTGGCTTAGCGGTTAGGTTTCAGGGTTACGACGTTAAACATCTGGTTTCGATACCCGTGGTGGACAGACTACAGATATCCTTGTGTAGCTTTATGCATAACCGAAATAAAACCAATAATTGCTAATTTCTTGAGCGCTACAACTTACGACGTATTTGTTATTACTGCTTCAATAATACAAACTTAATATTTACAGCACTGAACTTACTGGTTCAAAGTAACGAACAAACAAAAATACTAACAAGCTCGCTATCTCATTAATCAACCACGTAACAGAACCATAAAATCAGTCATTATTTACTCTAGCCAAGTGGTTTCCAACTGAAGACCACAGTCACGATACTAAAACGTCACGGGCTGTTCAATATTAGCTTTTCGTTAAAGTGCTTTTAAATGATACTGTAAAACAATCAACTTCAGTGCTATATTTTAAAATCCCTCCTTTTTTTTTCAACCATCTTGTGGGCGGTAGTTGGGAGCCACTTCTCTAGCCTAACTCACATTATATACTACTCAAATAATTTCATAAACTTAAAAAACGATTTTGGTCATTAAACCACGGCAAGAACGTGATATTAATCTCCCTTTGGTGAAACAACAATACAAATGTCTAAATTAGAAACAAAAACTACATAACCTACGATACCTCCATAATACATTTATAAAGTTGATTTGTAATTGCTCTTTGTTGTTTCTTTCATACATATTTATTGCTAAATCTTGATTGATAAATGAGGTAATTAAGTTCATGCTATACGAGAATACCAGAAAAGTTAAAACTTATTTAATTATTTATACAGATTTCGCCTTGTTAAGTAGTTATGATTCGAATATTGCTTGTGTGAAGGCAACAAAGGTTGTTATTTTGAAGTTTAAATGCCACATTCCCTCCGGAATCTACGGGATTGCAACGCTAAAATCCGGAGTTCGATTCCCCGTATCGGACACAGCAGATAGCCCAAAGTGAAACGAGCAAACAAACGATAAATGCTACAATTTAACTTTTGAAAGAATCTGTAAAAATAAATCTGTTACTCAATTATAGACGCATCTAACCAATTATCTAAGCAGAAGACCCAAAGATTACGTAAAACTTTTTAATTGCATTATATGTAACAAAATAAAACCACTTAGCGATACTGCTTACCTATACAAATGGTGTCTTGTATGGGTGTGCATTCTTGTAGCATGACTTGGTTAGCACGGCACGTGGTGCATAATTCACACCCCAGAGTGCCACTCAACAGTCCAGAGTAGGTGCCAGGGGGGCATTTCCGGCAGACAGTATTCCTTGTAGGAGAACACTGCCTGGCCACCCCCCAGCCGTGTGAGCAGAGTTCACATGAAAGACATTGATTAGTTTCGTTGTCCAGATAAAATCCTTTCTCACAAACACACTCCGTGTCATGTGTAACATTACATTCTTTTAGTAGCAATGAATGTAATGGGCATTCACTACAATTCCCACACATGGCTACGTCGCTATACGTCGTTGAAAATGTCTCTCCAGGGCGGCAGGAAGCACACCGTGTTTCTTCACTATCAATGCATTGATGTTCAACTCCGAACCCTGGTGGGCAAGTCAGACAACCTGTCATATTAGCATGTCGCTGGTCAGTCGACTGAACTTCACTTGTAATACCTCTCACCTGTGGCGTTATAAGAATGTTAATTGCAAATGTGTAAAGATAATAGAATATTTCTGTTAAAACTTAATATACAGCTTGTATGAGTCCTTTAGTACTATTGAAATTCTTGAAAACATAAAATCAAATAACTTAACCAAGTGGCAGTGAAATAAATATTTTTCTCTGTATCAATTTTCAAAATGTTCATTAAAAATTTAGTTATATATATATATATACATAAATGTCTAGTATACGAATTAGAAACTTCGAAAAAGTATAACTTTATTTATTTAGTTGTAGTTATGATTTATAGAACTTTAATTGAAATTAATTATTCAAGCTTAAAAATACCATATGTTTAAAATACTGAAATACAATACTGTATTTGTTCCCACACACGCAGAATTTAGATAAAAGCTCAGCTTCTTTAATAAAACACTAAAGCCATTTTAAATTAAACACATACTAAGCTAGCGTTTGTTTGTTTGTAATTAAGCACAAAGCTACACAATGGGCTATCTGTGCTCTGCCCACCACGGGTATCGAAACCCGGATTCTAGCGTTGTAAGTCCGCAGACATACCGCTGTGCCAATGGGGGGGCAAAACAGTAGCGAACACATCACTAGAACGTTTGTTTAAGAGTTTATGAAGGCTTCATTAGGGAAGTATTATTTGCCAAACATGAAGATCTTGAAATATCGCATAATCTTTAAAGAATGATAAATAACAGTTCATGTTCTAATCTTTAACCATATAATTCTCAAGAGCTGATAAAGATCATCTGTTTTTAATCTTAATCACGTAACCCTTATGAACTGATAAAGATAAGTTCTAAAAATCTAAACATACTTTAATTGGTACTATTAACTCTATCTTTTACTTTATTTTTCATTCTTAACCTACCAGTTAAGTGTCACGTTATACTTAAGGACTGATAAAGATCACATATGTTTTAACCTTAATCACATAACCCTTATCAACTAAAAAATATCAGACTTTTGAAATTAATTGCGTTTTTTTTTGGTATTGAGTCATCTTTATTTTTTCATTCCCAGTCCCCAAATAAGTTTTACGTAATCTTTAAAAGCCGGTGAAGATGTTTTTTTAATCTTAATCTGATAAAAGAGTAAATCTCTGAAAATCCATTTTTAATTCCTAAACCCAAGTTTTTAAGAACCAATTGGTTTCTTCGCTCCTAACACGAAGCTCTGATCTGTGACGTAATAAATGAAGACCTAATGCTAAAATTAAAATTATATATATATATAGAAAATCAAAACTCAAACAGTCAAGCAAAACAGAATCAAAAGGAAGGACTGCGTTAAAAACAGTAAATCCAAACCTGTGATAAATGACATTCAAATCTTGGTTGGGATTTTATACTAGTATAATTTGTCTACTGTGCTATTAATTAGTGCTTTACTACTACAATGGGCCTGGCACGGCCAGGTGGTTAGGGCGCTCGACTCGCAATCTGAGGGTCGTGGATTCGAATCCCTGTCCCACCAAAAATGCTCGTCCTTTCAGTCATGTGGGCGTTATAATGTTACGGTCAATCCCACTATCCGTTGGTAAAAGAGTAGCCCAAGAGTTGGCGGTGGGTGGTGATGACTAGCTGCTTTCGCTCTAGTCTTTCACTCCTAAATTAGGGACGGCTAGCGAAGATAGCACTCGTTTAGCCTTGCGCGAAATTCAAATCAAACCAAACCAAACTACTACAATGGGGGCTGGAATGCCAACATCAGAAGGTAAGTTTTTCTTACTTATCCCCAACTAGTACCTTATTTCGTTTTTCCTTTTTATTTATTTATTTATTTTCTTTTACATTGGAGAACAGTCACCTTCCTACAACTGTCTGCAGGCAGTGAAGGGTGATATAGATGTGGGACGTTGAGGGTTTCAGCGCCCACATCTCGCTCTCCTAATTCTTACTTCTTTTGATTATTATATTTTTTTCTTCTTGTGAGACTGGCGAACGGAGGTTAAAACTGATAAATGGTGTATCCCCACCGCAATGTGGATCCTACTTCCACAGTCACCTCCAAAACCCAGGGCACATTTTATATCAGCCTGTACCTGGGGATCATTTTGATTTGTGCAGCGTCTGTAATTTGATTTTTGTTTTGGCTTGTTTTTGTTCATTTGGATATATATATATCAGATTATACTGTTTTTACATTTTGGATGTACTTTTTCTTTAATTTTAGGCCTATTTTCTTAATAAGTAAAACTACCACAAAATTTAATTAACGAAAGAGTGATTATTTTACTTGGAAAGCACTGAAGTTAATAAATAAATTCATTATAGAATATAAATAAAATGTTTAACTAAACCCTTTCTTTATTGTTTTTCTTTACTTATCACGGTGATAATAACTTTGTAAACTACATTCGTCTACAAGAACGCCTTCTGCTTTAAATAGTCTTCTGAATCCAGATGTAACGACGGAAACATCAAAGTGAAGAAATGAATCTATAATTTCAAATGTAATTCAGCCTGTATAGGATATCATGCTACTTAATGACAGGATGTAGGCATAAGCCTGTATTACATGATCACCCATGCATACAGTTTCGTAAATAAGTAGATTCTTTAATAACTGGATTTAAAGAATAGCGATTATTTCCTCCAAGTCTGACTTAATAGTCTATTGTAGATGTTATCATAAAAATCAAAAGCGTAAAAATATTTTCTTGGACACTGTGTATAAGCTATAAAAAATAAATGACGTTACGTTATTTCTGCTCTCACAAATGATTTTAATATAACTTCATTTTTCTATGTGAATCACAAGCCTACCGCCATTAGAATATTCACCAGTGGTGATCATTGTGAATGTTTGACATGACCTGAATAATTTCGGTTCTTGCTTTCGCTGAGAGAGCCATAAGTTATACACTGAAGTTTCGTCCAACACTGTGTAACAATGTTGTAATCTGTCATAACCCAGTAACCAATCAATACTGTGTAACAATGTTGTAATCTGTCATAACCCAGTAACCAATCAATACAGTGTAACAATGTCGTAATCTAAATGGATTGTCGGAAGAGTTCCTTCAAACTTTACATATGACGTTTTCGACTAGATTTTTTCAAAAAATACTAGACCATGGGTGGGCAACCAAATTTTTCTCCTTAACCATGAATGTGGCCAGTCGATCACAGAAATAGCCACACTATTAATGAAACAGAAAATGTTCGCTAACTAAATTAATTTCAGGATTCTAATGACAGTAAGGTTAATTATAAACATAACATAAAAGTAAAAAACAAAATACTTTTCAAAATTACAAATATGTGAAATTTCAATGAGAGATTTGGCATTCGTTTTCTCTGATAAAAAACACACTATCGATGATTCTACGAGTTGGCCACACGTTTATGCGGAATGGCCACATGGCCATTGGCCAATATGCTGCCCGCACAGGTACTATACAGACACGTTGTTAATTAAACAACACGCTTTCAAACTACATAACAACTCGAAATAAATTTATTGTGTATTAGTAATAATCGTTATAATTTCAAGCACACGTTAATAAGTCCAGTAATATTTTTCAGTGCTTTTATATTGTCTTAACCATTGTTGAAAGTATTCTGTAAGATCCAATAAGCACTTACAACTATTAATAAAGATTTAATGGCATATTTTAAAGTGACTTCTAAATACGTTTGAAAGTTGTTAGTAAGAGAAATCATACGAAATACAACATACTATTGTCAGTCAAAAGTTTAAAAAACAAAAGAAAAAAAAAAGTCCTGTAAAATTAACACCTATCACATCGATGTTGTATGCAAGCATAACAACACGAAAATTAATACTTAATTATTACCACCAGGTGTATATGTTCGGTTTGGTTTGAGTTTAGGAGTGACAGACCAGAGGGAAGACACCTAGTCAACACCACCCACCGCCAACTCTAGGGATACTCTTTTACCGATGAATAGTGGGATTGACCGCACATTATAACGCCCCCATGGCTGAAAGGGCATGTTTGGTGACGGAGACTGAATCCGCGACCCGAAGATTGCCAATCAAGCGCCTTAACCAGGGTGCATATATAGAAATAATCCAAGAATAATTTCCACATACAAGTTCTTGGCACAACAACAATGCGTGCATAAATACCGATTACAGGATTTATTTAAGGACATAAACCATGCTATCCTAAATTTCCACACATGTAGAGCACCACAAAACGAAATCTGCCTCGAAATGTCATACATTATTCCAACGCGCTGGTTTCACACAAAGTAGAACAAACCTCGAAATGTCATACATTATTCCAACGCGCTGGTTTCACACAAAGTAGAACAAACCTCGAAATGTCATACATTATTCCAACGCGCTGGTTTCACACAAAGTAGAACAAACCTCGAAATGTCATACATTATTCCAACGCGCTGGTTTCACACAAAGTAGAACAAACGGGAGCCATGCTTAATTTCCCCAAACAATTTTTTGTTTGTTTTAGAATTTTGCACAAAGCTACATGTATGCGCATAGCCGTCCTTGATTTTGACCTGTTCTACTAAAGGGGAGGTACCTAGTTAAGAGCACCTACTATCAACTTATGGGCTACTTTTGTATAACTGAACTGTAGGATTTGACCGTCACTCTATATAGCGCACCCACGTCTCCCCGCACGTTTTTGCAAAAAAAAGGGGTCGCAAACTGTATCATCAAGCTGACCATTAGGGCCAGGCCCGGCCCAAACCGAGAATACAGTTTTAACAGAGCAAAGTTAACCCTAATGATACGTGAAATTAACACTTATCTAATAGTTTTTAGTTGGCAAGCTTCAGATTAAGAGTCTGAGTGCGCTAAAAATATGCCATGCCCAGTCCCTCTACATACAGATTTAATATATAGTATCACAAACAGAATCAGAATGCAGTAATAAAATTCCCTCCACTGGTATCATATAAAGAACCACAAAACATACATAATTCCCACAACCAGGTTCATTAAAGCCACTACATAACAGAATATCATAGGAAGTTACCATTCATACGTTT